CCCGGATCTCTGGTTGTGCAACCAGCAACCTTCTTACATGCATGTGCACAGAAGGGATCCCCAGCAACAGGAGGATCCGCTTTGGGAGTCCATCTCTGATGGTGAGATCAGAGACTCCCTGCCGAGGGACCGCTCGCTAACACCTATGCCACCGACTGAACCTCATGTGGCCTCACCATTACCTCCCAGATGTCGCAGCCTTTCATCCGAACATGGAGATAAGAGTTGGTTGATCCCGGGATATGGTGCTCCCCCCAGCTGGGGTGGTTACCAACCATATCCCTATTTTCCTCGGGATCATAGATCACCATCGGTCCCGAGGGACGTACCATCCACTTCCAGGCGTACGGAGACGAGGTGCCCAACCTCCCCTGAAACCTCCTCAAGCGAAAACTGGCCGCGTTACGTGGAAAACTCCGAGGATTCAGAGGTCGACTCCACATCCCCTGATGTGGCTGTTGCATACCAAGGGCCTGCTTCACCCGACGAACCGTATGTCTCTTTCACAGAGCTCATGTCCCGCTTAGTTCGTTCGCTTGAAATCGAAGCTCATCAACAGCCAGGCCCCTCCACAGATCGGTTTTATGATGTCATTCAGGGAGAGCAGTCCGCATCCATAGCTCTGCCGCTTATAACTACACTCCGCCAGGCTATGGTCCAGCCCTGGGCCCAACCGGCCCAACCACAAGCTATCTCCCACAGATATGAGGCCATGTATAGAGTTCATGACGATGACATTCCCGTGCTGCTCCGTCACCCGAAACCGAACTCTCTTGTGGTTGAATCCTCCCAGGGCAGGGAGTCCAGGGGACATACCGCTCCTCGGGACAAGGAAGGGAGGAAAATTGATAGGCTTGCGTGCCGAGTCTGTGCGGCCTCTGGACTCAGCGTGCGCATATCGAACTACGAAGCGACACTGGCATGTTACCAGTACTTTATCATGCAGAAGCTGGATAACGTTGCTTCCTCCCTTCCAGACTACCAAGCGGACCTTGCCAGGGTTTTCATTAAGGAGGCAATGCAGGTGGCGGTGCAACAGTTGTCTACCACTCGTCATCATGTAGACACCGATTCAAGGGCCCTCGTCAATGCCATCTCGTTACGCCGACATGTGTGGCTGCGCTATTGTATTTTCCCCAATGAGATGAAGCGCAGAATCGAGGAAATGCCATTTGACGGTACCGGTCTGTTCCACCAGAAGACCGACCGCAAATTAAAGGCGATTCACGAATCACGCCTAACTGCACGCCGCATGGAGCTCCCGCAAAAACGTAAGTGGCAGTGGCCTCGGTCTTCCTACCGGAACCAACCATACTATCTGCGCCAGCAAAACTACCCTCACCAGCAATATCAACAACGGCAGCATCGGAGACAGCAGACACAACAGTGTTTTTCCCAAGGCCGTCGGCAATTCAATACCGATGAATGCCCACGTTGATGGCTTGGGCGAACCATCCTCTCTTTCCCAACACCACCTTCCCTTCTCCCTTTTGGGAACCGGCTCCAGGGCCGACTCCCCATTTGGGAGTCCATTACATCTGATAGGTGGGTGTTATCTATGATCCAGTTCAGATACAGGATAGAATTCAATGTTATCCCTCCGAGCCCGATCCGCTTCACACCTTCTTCATTGGTGCTACGCAGTGAGGTCTCCCAGCTACTCCTCAAGGGAGCGATTCGACAATTGTCATGCTCGGAAGGATTGGATGGATTCTATTCCAGATATTTTACGGTCCCGAAAAGGGTCGGTGGTCTTTGTCCGATCCTGGACTTACGAACTCTTAATAAGTACATTAAACCAAGGAAGTTCCGGATGACCACTTTGCAAAATATCCTTCCGTTATTGAAAAGAGAGGATTGGTTCGCCTCACTGGATTTAAAGGATGCTTATTTTCATATTTCCATCCATCCTTCACACAGACGCTTTCTACATTTTACTGTCGAATCCGACCTGTTCAAGTTTAACATCCTACCTTTTGGCTTGGCCACATCCCCTCGAGTCTTTACGAAGTGTATGGCACCGGTATGCGCACGCTTGAAGACATGGAGAATACAGATACACCCATACTTAGATGACTGGCTAATTGTCTCGCAATCCGAGCAAGCTCTCCTGTCTGATATACAAATGACCTGCGCTCTACTCGATGCTCTCGGTCTCTGCATTTAACCATGACAAATCGTCCCTTATTCCCATGAAGGTCATCGATTTCATCGGGGTACGACTCGATTCGACTCAGGAAAAAGCCTTCCTCCCACCGGAACGTCAGAATGCCTTATGCAGCCATATTCATCGGATTCGGCTACACGGAACGGTCCCAGCCTTATCCGTTCAGAGACTACTGGGGCATATGGCTGCTGCAATTGCCATTGTCCCGTATGCCAGACTACGTATGCGACCCATACAACTGTTTTTCAACGCTGCTTTTCCACCGCAACAAGATCCTGCCACCAAGCCGATTCGGATTCCATCTGCAATCCTTCACACTTTAACTTGGTGGACCATCACAGACAACCTGTCAGTCGGCACTCCGTTTCGACCACCTCGGCCAATGACAACTCTGTACACTGACGCATCCCTCCTTGGATGGGGTGCGGCATGTTCGGGACTTCGGGTCCAAGGTACTTGGAACCGACGAGAGGCGAGGAAACATCAACTTTCTGGAACTTCTGGCGATTTTCAACGCCCTCAAGGCTTTCGAGACTGTGTTATGCCGTCAAGTTGTTCAAATTGCATCAGACAACATAGCGGCAGTTTTCTACATCAACAGGCAGGGGGGCACAAAATCCCCAGCCTTAGCACGCCTATCGATGGACATTTGGGACTGGTGCATACCGAGGAACATCATGCTTATGGCAGTTCATCTGGCTGGAACCGACAACGTCGAAGCAGATACATTAAGCGGACAGATGTCAACAATCCACAAATGGGTGTTGGACAAACAAATTTGCGAGAAACTCTTCCACTTGTGGGGTTATCCAGACGTGGACTTGTTCACAACTCGAGAGAACAGCCTGTGTACCCTATACTGTTCCAGAGCGGGCGTCGGGCCGGGATCGATGGGGGACACTCTTATGGTCCCTTGGAGCAACATGACTTTTTATGCGTTTCCCCTGATCCCACTCCTGACAAGAGTGGTTGCAAAAATAGCCCAGGACAATGCCACAAGGATACTAGTAACTCCGTGGTGACCGAGACAACCATGGTTTGCCACTCTTTTGCTGCTGTCCAGAAGAACGTTCCTTCATCTACCAACTCTTCCGCATGTGTTAACACAAGGAGGAGCAATCCGTCATCCAGATATACTCACTCTGAAGCTGACGGCATGGCGGATCACCTGATTCACGCCACTGAGTCGGTACCAGGGACACCTCACCCTACGGGTGACCTTACTCAACAGATGGTATATGCGGCCCAGACTTCGGATTTGACAGCAACTGCCACGGTACCGATGCCTACGGACAGAGAAATTCAGGCGATTCTCAAATCTGCATTGAGACCGTCCACTCGTCGTTCCTATACAGCTAAATGGGGAAGATTCTCCTCTTTTGCAGAGTGCCATTCCTTTTCCCCTGGAATGGCTTCAGTCACCAATATTTTACAATTTCTCTTGCATTTGCATCATGAGGGACTTAAACCATCATCCATCAAAGTTTATGCACCCGCTATATCCCATTATCGTGGCACTATCCACGGATTATCAGTCTTCTCTCAACTGCTGGTTCGGCGTTTCAGTAAGGGACTACAAAATTGACATCCATCTATTCGCCCTGCCATGCCAACGTGGAGTCTTTCCGTAGTGCTCCAAGCGCTTACCAAACCACCTTTCGAGCCTTTAGCAACTGTGGACTTACTCCTGATGTCATGGAAAACTGCCTTTCTCGTAGCAGCTACATCAGCATGGAGAGCTAGCAAAATTTGTGTTCTCCGCATAGACCCACCATTTCTGAACTTCCATAAGGAAAAAGTCCTTCGGATGGATTTCTCCTTTTTACCCAAGGTGGCCACACCATTCCACCTGAATCAGGACATCATTCTGCCGGCATTCTTTCCATCACCGTTGACCCCGATAAGAACGTGCTCTACACACGCTTGATGTTCGCCTTTGCTTGGCCTTTTACAGATCCCGCACTGAATCTTTTCGTACTACTAATAGACTTTTTTTAAATACTCCGAGCGTAAAAAGGGATCACCGATATCATCTCAGAGACTCTATAATTGGATCGTCCAGACTATTGTCCTGGCTTATCAGCTATCGAAAATAGACTTATCTGTCTTTCCAAGTGGCCACTCTACACGAGCAGTAGCGACTTCATCTGCTTTTGCTGCAGGGGTTTCGGTGCAAGACATCTGCAGAGCTGCGATCTGGGCTGGTCCATGTACTTTTGCCAAGCACTATCGGCTTGATGTACGTGCCAGACAAGACTGCTCTTTTGGTAGAGCTGTTCTCTCATCCATTCTTCGCTGACGACACCTCCCTCCTCTGACTGTGGTAAGCTTGCGAATCACCCATATGTGTGATGCACAGAGGCCACGACGAAGAAAAGCAGGTTGCTTACCTGTAACTGATGTTCTTCGAGTGGCCATCTGTGCATTGACACAACCCACCCGCTGGCCCCACTCGGTGTCAGTGAGTGGATCCCGTTTTTCTCGGTACCATACTATAAATTGCATCGGTACCGTTGGGTTATGTCGCTGACTAGATATTGTTCTCGGTACCGTACTATAATTCACATCGGTACCGTTCGGATATAATTGTGTTTTCTCATTACTTTTATTCTTAACCTCTAGAGGGCGAACGTGTGGTCTTCAAGACTGAGTAAAATGGCAGACACTCCGCTCTATTTATACCACGAAGGGGGAGGGGAGCAGAGTTTTCCCACCAAAAACCGTTAGCTTTCTAATCTTCCGGCCTAGGCACTGCGCAGGCGCAGCAACCCGTATGTGTGAATGCACAGATGGCCACTCGAAGAACATCAGTTACAGGTAAGCAACCTGCTTTTTCCATCCATCCTTCCACCCATCTCAGCTTTGTCAATAGAATTTCCCTCTGAACTTTAAGCTGTCTGGTTCTCAGTGATTTCCAGGCTTATTTCTGGTCAATTGTCCTTGGCATTTCAGCTGTAACATCCAGCTCTGCTTCTGCTTCTGAATGAGAAACCCAGTGAACAAGTTATTACAGGAGGAGTGCATATGCATAGAGGGCTTCCAAGAGAGGTGGAAAGAAGTGGGGTATGGAAGGTGTGCTCCCCTGCTCTCTTTTTGTGTATTCCAAATGTCAGTGCAAGTGAGAAGTCAGAAGGACATGGGTGCTTCTGGACATCCATTTCACTAGAGCACCAGAGGCACTCATTCTGGGGAAGTGAATTTATGGAGGGCTGAGAGACACAATTACAAAATGAGAAAAGGAAAAGGGAGGATGATTTTGCTGGAGACCATGACAGCACCCATATCTGTGCAGTGGTTCAAAGCTGCTTATAGTGCTGTGATTTAACCAAATCATGCAATTACCAGATTGCTTGTTCCACAACTATAGCGTACTAACTTTTTTCCTACATTTATTGTCATTCCATCTTGAAAAAGAAAATGGAAATTCCTTCCACCCCAATTGCACTTTGCATGCTCAGATGTTTGTGTTTAATTAATTAATTTCATTTCTATACCACCCCACGGCCAAAGCGCTCTCTTCGGTTTATTAGAAATAATAAAACCAGTCAAACTAACTATCTTGAACCCATGTTCCAAGGCTAGCAGGACCTTACTACTATTTCTTTCTTTTCAATTAACCAACTATTACAGAAACAAATACAATATTAACAAATAATAGTTAGTTGCTTTCTTAGGACTTTATATTTATTCTTTTGAGCAGGGGTGTAAAACTCATATGAGTTGGAGGGTCAACTTCCCACTGAATAAGAACTCTGGGAATCTCGTAAGTTTTCAGGAAAAGAAAACTTCAAATACTTTAATTTGAAAAATATCAACCCTCCCAAACTCCTCTTCTTGATAACCTCATGCACACATTGCAGTTATTCCTCTGTCAGACATATATCTCAGACAGGGGAGAAAGAAGACTATGAAAAATCTCATTACTTCCTGCCTCATTTTCCCAACTGGAGCATAATTAAGTTGTTGTGTTCTTGCCTTAAGCATTTGATGACTGGGGCAGCGAGCTCCAGCCATTGCAACAGTCATTCTGCTTGTAAGCATGACAGTCTTGCTATTTACGGCTTCTTGTCCCAGAACAAGACTTGAATTTTGTGAAATGTGATAGGGGTTTAGTAGGCCATATTGGCAGCCCCAACAGGTCCGCAAAGGCCCTCATAGCTTATGTTTGACACCCCTGCTTCAGAACTTGCTCTTTTAAAAAAGCCTCCGATAACTAGAACGCCCTAAAATAATTTTTAAATGTAACTTTGCAATCTCTTGTATGTATTTTTTTCTTTCCTTCCACCTTGGCTGCAAATTCTCTCAGGTCTCCGCTGGTCCATCCACCAAGCCATGGATGTCGCTCGACTCACAACAGTCCAATTCACACTGCTACTGGCTCACGGCTTACTCAGAACTTCTCTGTGTCTGTTCCCACTCTCATCTACACTGGTACGAGACTGCTCAGACTCAGAAGCTGGGAAGAGGCAGGCCACAGGCACAGTGACTGCAGAGGGCAGGCAGGCAGGCAGTGTAGGCAGGTACCACACAGCTTTTCTCGGTAGGACTTCTTCTCCTGGACTTAAGCATTCATCTGACAAAACAGAAGGCAATAAGAGACTGGATGGTGCACATCTTTCGTGTCTCTTCTTGTGTTTTTGCTTTGGCGCGCGTGAGTCTTTTCTTTTCCAGCAGTAATATAAGATTTACTTCTTACATTTTTCCCTTGTTATGGTGGTAGTGGGGGGAACCACATCTTGATTGGGCTTCAGGCTTAATCATGATTTCAGAGATGATTATCAGGAAGAAGTCTTAAACTGGGCAAAAAGGTAAGGCAATGCTAAACATAGTAGAGGTTATCGATATAATGGTATGGTTTTCTTCTTTGCTTTGTTTTTAGCTGTGGCACACTGTGAATGCCAAAGGATAAGGAAACATTTTTTCTTGGAAATACGTTTGTGTGCGTGTGTGCCAGTGTGTATGTGTGTGTGTGTAAAAATGTATTGTCTCTGTGTGTATATAAACACACAGATAGATAGTTTGCAATCATCACTTTGTTTCCCTTTTTTATAATCTGGTTGAATAAGCATATTGCATTCCTGCCCCAAGTCATAATATTCAATGGGTTTTACTTTCTTTGCTCATTATCCTTGATTTTTGATGCTTCATGCCTTAGCTGTGGCTTTTGGTTTCATTTTGCTAACAGACAATTGCCATCTGCCTGTGCAATGCTGAGTTGGTGAACATTTTTGTGTGCCTCTGGGCTTCACAATGTACCTTCACACTTTAGGACAGCTGTTGGCCCTGCCCCTTCCCTACCCACATCCAGGTGTTGGGATCATGCTGCTATCAGCCCGGTCCTTTGGCATAGGATCACTGAATATTTTTCCACCTTCTTCTGGCAGGATTCCTTTCAATGAAGATCCCAATCCCAATCCTCATTCATCAGGACCCTCCACCCCTCTGAAAAACCAAATCTATTCCTTTTCACCTTCCAAGTCCTACAGTCGACAGTCCTCTTCTTCTGACACAGATTTGAGTTTGACACCCAAAACTGGTAAGGTGCTTTCACCCACTTTATTTTGATTTGTTTATTTGTTTTGTTCAATTTGTGTTAATTCTATTTTAGCTTTTCACTCACACCCTTTCTTTGTTTTTTTGGCATGCAAGTTATCACAGCAAGCAATAAATAGGGACTATCATACAATGGTCACAAGGAATTGTCTTTTATAATTTCCTCCACATCATATTGCAAATTATGGAGATAGAAAGTCACCATAATATGTTGGGGAGATAGTTTAGCATGTCTTTCTAACCCTGTATAAAGTGAAGACTAATATCTTCCTAATCTAAAAATGGTTACCTTTATCTGCATATCTTCATAACTAAAATTCTGTTTGCATACTGGAGACTGAAGGAAATATGGCTGGTTGGCTGACTTTTGAGCTGCTTCCAAGCTATGCATAATTATCATAGATATATTTTGCCTTAAAGTGATATTCAATTCCTATTAGTAACTCATGTGCTTGATTTAGAAAACATTTTATGTTATTAATTTTAAGAATCCTATTTTATAATTTTGCCTTTGCTGCTTAAACAAATTTTAAGATATGGCAAATCCCGTAGTTTTATATGTGAGATGTATGCATGCCAAATGCCATCATCCCTTAAGAGTTGATGTTTTATTCTGCCTGCTAAGTAAGTGATTCTCAAACTATGAAACAGGCTTCCCTTAGGCATGGGACACCTGGAGATTACTTTTCAAGGAAAAGTAGGATCCTGGAACGGTACTTACTTCAGACACAACCTGGCTACATTGCCACCTGACAGAGAAACTCAGTGATCTACATTGTATTTGGTGTTCAGAATTAATTCTCCATCTTTTCAACATGATTTGGAAGAAAGGAACCCAGAAATTGCTGATGATTTGTTCCTACAATGCAAGGGTTGGAAGGGGTTCAGTGATATCTAACGTGTGTGGGGTAATTATTCCTTTGGACAAACCAGGAGGCAGTAGGCATGTGAGAATGACCTATGAGAGTTAACTGGTACTGGGTTGTTAGGGGTGGAGTCCAGAAAGTAGTATATGGCTTAAAGCGAGCCTGACTTCCTACTGTTTGAGAACCGCTGTACTAACTACATGCCCATCAGACTTCATGCAATTTGCTGTTTTATCCTTAAAGTCTGTTAGAGAGTATGGTCATGGTTTGGGTTTTTTTTAATTTTTGAAAACATTTATGATGTATGAAACTAAAGTGTGACCAGCTAATAATTTTAACCTATTCTTTTTTTCTGGCGTGTCTGTGTTACTTCGTTATTGTGCTTATAAATTACCTAGGTATAGTAAGTTACAGATGATATGTCTTAACCATCTGCCTTTTTTAAATATAGAAGCTTTGCTTTTTTAAAATGGTGCAAACATTTATGTTGGACCAATTTTGCCCACAAAAAAGAAACTTCTTGTTATTGCCTGTTGACATTGTTTGATATAAAAGAGATATTTTGACATTTGGCTTATATACAAAAAAATTTCAAATGGCGCTCTTAGCTGTTGCACTTAGGAAAAAAAGGGAAGAGGACTTGTCAATGCAACATTTAGTTTTACAAACTATTTTAATATTACTGAGTGTCTAAGACACTTTCACGCACTGTATGTAATGGTCATGTTCAAATTACCTTATCTCAGCTTAATATTTACCAAGTGAGGGAAAGAATGCATCCATATAGCATAATAGTCAATGTCCTAGCTCTGGAGTTCCAGGCTGTAGTCCTTACTTGGCTGTGACGCTTACTGGTGAGTTTGGGCCAGTCATGGACTCTTGACTTAACCTATATTATAGGTTTGTTGTGAGGATGAAATAGAGAAGGGGATTATTTAAATCACCTTGGGTTCCTTGCAGGAAAAAGGGTGAAATATAAATATATATAATAGACCAACATATGCATGAATGGTCTATTCCTGTTCTCATTTACTTTGTGTCTTCTGGGCCATGAACAGATAGGAAGTCTGCAATTCACAAGTTTTCTGTTTTATCAGAATGGGGAGCTATGGCTTATGCCTGATTATGAGCCCATGGTTTGAAATTGTTTTAAAACCATCAGCTATAGTTTCCAGATTTCAGTGAAATAGAATGGTAGATTTAACTGTTGACTGAGCTGAGGACTCAGCACAGTGCCTCCCTATGGGGGATAAAGGAAAGGGGGAACAAAGTTTGTTGATATTTAGGCATATTAAGCTGAGATATAGTTGCCCACACACAGTGCTGAGTAAATGGCAAGTGTCATCTGTCATAAATATAGAGAGAGAGAGAGTGAGAGAGAGAGTGTGTGCAGGTGATGTGGGGGATGTCTTATGATCATGGCTATAACTTTGCACACCCTGAAAGTAAGTAAATCCCATGAATCTCAGTGGGATTTCAGTGAGTATGATCCAGAGAGACCCTGTTGCAAACAGAATGCACTTTTGAGTGTCCATACCTTCTTCTGATTCCTCCCCTGCACCTGCAGGTCTCCTACATTTTGTCATTGAACAGTAGACTGAATGCCAGGCTCATGGAGTTTCAAAAGTGGCTCTTTTGTGGGGAAAAAAAAACATTCCACTGGAAAAGATGGTGCATTGTCTTTCTAAATTTGTCTTTCTAAATCTGGTGTATAGGAGCTTTCAAAAAAAAGATCTGTCAACAAACATTGTGTAGAGAGTATTAGAAGCTTAGCATTAAAGGCTTCTTATGCAATCTTCAAAGCACAAAGCTGATGCAAGTCTTAAGTTGTGAATTGTGCTATTCTTGGCAACTAACAGAATGATCTAATAAAGACTTTGGTAGCTGCTTTTTAAAGCAAATACTTTGGTGCTTACCCTAATATATATGTGGAGGAAATTGAGAAGATGGAACTTCTTTATTTGGAAAAAATAGTTGAATAGAAACATTGTTCTACCCTTTAATGATTAAGGCTCTAAAAATAAGCTGCTGTCTGGTTAACACTCAGAAAATCCCAAATCCTTCTGATACAGGCAACTTAAATTTCTTAGACTCCTGGAAAATACCTGCTAATCATCTGCAAGCATGCTCAGTTCACAGTAGCTATTAGAATTTGAAATAAAAGCTAAAGCACACAGAAACCTTCATTCCTTTAAATGAAGAGGAACAATGTATTACAGTATCATTTTAATGTGCTTCTCATTCACCTTGTGGTGCTGTATTTCTCATCTCATCTGTTGTATGTCAATAATAGTTCATATGCTTCTTGGTTGTCTGTTCATTTTGGTTTTTCTTGATTCATTTTGCTTTTTTTCCTTCTCATTTCTTTTTAGTCACTTTCTGAAATCTACCATCTCTTCTCTGCTGCTTCCTCCACAGCACTTTCCCCACAGGGACCTAGGATTTTCCTGTTTCCCAGTTCCCCAACACTATCTTGTGGTTCCCCACAGCTTAAACAGCCCTGTCTCCTCTCTGGGTCTACCCCTAACCCTCTTCACTCTAGCCATGTCAACCCAGTTCTGAGGAAAAGTGTTTCTTTCACTGAAGAGCTGCTTCTGGCTGCTTCTGGTAGGATCAATCTTAAATCGCCTTGCTGTTTTTATTAGTCTTTGCGGTGGCACTCATGATTTCTCCGCAAACCCCACCCCCTTTTAAACTCTGGAAACTGCTGGCTACATGACGATTGTAAAACTCTGCTTTCTAAATGGGATTTTCCACTTGATTTCTTTCTTTTAAAGTTTGGTAGCTACTTAAAAGGAAGCTTACCATTTTTATAATGTAGCTTTTTCTCCCTTTCCGTCCAAAACCTTCGAATAATTGGCCTGGTTTTCATCATTAGGTGGTGATAACAATAATCCATTTCCTGCCATTTGTAAATGTTCCTCTGTTTCAGTTGGAACAAACACTCCTCCTTCTTCTCCAGGTCATTTGCTTTTACTCTGACCATCATGTGGCCATCAGCCATATTTGTTTTCTGTACTGTATCTGCAGTTTAAAATATCATTCTGAATGTTTGCAATATGCACATCTTCTTTGCCTGTACTTTCACTAGATTGCTTTGCTAAATGCAAACTTTGTTGGTGTTTGTTGTCTACAGATAGTGCTTTGGTTGTCCTTTTTTGAAGAGAAGAATGTTTCATCTTCACAACAGCATTCCATTTCTGTCTCTGTTCTTAGTATTGTATAGTCCCTTGTAAGACAATTGGTTACAAACATAATTAGATTGACTTAATATTACAGAATGGGACTATATAGATGCTAATATTTGTTTCCTTATCCAAAAACAGCTAAAAATGTTTCCTTAAATAGATTTTTAAAATCCTTATTCCAGGGTTTTGCTGTTTAATGCATGTAGGAATGACTAGTGATACAGACTAACACCATAGGTTGAACCACTTGTAAGTCTGTTTCTATTTGCATCCTTTGCTTTTGTGAACTTGCAAGTGTTTACAGATTTTCAGTCATAATCTGAGGTGTTTTTGCAAAATTAATAATTTGAATTGATAGGAAATCTTAGACATGCCATAAAGTTAGATAAGCTGACAAAATGTTGAGTTTCTTCATCCTTGCTATATTCTTAATTAAGTAGACCACTGCAGGTATAGGATAATTATTAGTACTCTAATCAATAGCTTAATTTGTAAGGATTATGGCTGTTCAAGTGTATTTCAGATATTTATGGTACATCTAATGTTCAGTCTTATAAACACCCTTGTGTTTCACTGAGACTTGCCAGAAACAATTTATGGTGGTTTACACTGAGAGAGAATTGAGCTGACAGAAAGAAAACCAGGCATTGAAGCAGTCCTTGAGCAGGTTGTATAAAAATATACTAGCCTTTGAATGAATGGATTGTTTTAGGATTACGCGAAGCTGCCTTATACAGGCAATGTTTGCATGTAGTGATAAGCCAAGAATTCCAGCTTATGAAACTACAGTACAAACACGCAGCACACTCTCACATGTGCCATTTGCACCTCCTTTTGCACAAGCAGGTAAACAAACCAAATAGGTGCTTCTGCTATGGCCACCACGCCCTGAGGAAAGAAATGTTAGGGGAAAAAATCTAACCCAAAGGCATGCCAGAAAGAGAAAATGTTGCTTGCAAACTTGGTACATTTTATCTTTCTGGCATTCTAAACTGCTACAGGCACCATTTTCCCCATAACACTTAAACTAATTTGCAGGTTGCCTTACCAACTTGTGACATGTTCAGCAGGAAGCAGTGGGGGGGGGTGGTTGAGAGGGTGAAAATGGCCTCTGGACCTCTCAAACGAGCCCACCCCGCTTTCAGTCTTAAAAACAAATACTTTACAAACTTAAAATGTACACAGTTGTCTTTCTGAAACTTCTGTAGCTTCATTTAATTAGTGCAAATGTGTAGGGTTTGTCTAAAATGTAATATAGTGTACACAGGTTAGCTTTCCCAGACTGGTAGCTGTGTAAGTCTGTTGCAGCTGCTGGAAAAATATCTTTATGTCACCCTTTTATAAATGTTTATTCATGACATAAACTTTTGTGGACTGTAATCCAGTTATTTAGATTGCTATTGTGAAGTAAAACAACTCTGAAAATTAACTAACTTTTAAAAACTGAGGTACATAAATAACCTGAATAATGACAGGTGTGTCCATGTAGGACTCAGTAGCACAATCTTAAGCCAGTGGTACACTGAAGATTGCATCTGATTTGATAGCTTTTAATTAACCCACAATTCAGCCTACACTAACATTTTTACCTTAATTGATGACCTGCTTGTACATGTTTTCTTAGAAACCTGTTGACTGTATGAGAAATATCAAATCATAACTTGCAACCACCAATGTTTTATTCCTTCCTACACCAAATCCCTTTAAATTTTTTGTACATGTTGGCGTTAAATTTAGAGATCTTTCTGCAGTATTATAACAAAAAAAAAACCCCACAGTAAGTCATCTGCAACTAGGAAGAAGGCTGAAGGGTCCTACCTTTTCCCTAGCAAATGTATGTATTTTTTTTTTATAAAGGTAAATGAGTTTGGGTTTTTAATTGTAATCTTAAGCTTTTAAGCTTCAGACTACTTTAGTCAGTACTCAAACATGTTCTGTGTTTTTAAATGTAGTACATCTCATGTAACTGTTTGATATGGCTGTTACTTATGTGCCGATATCCTTTAGGAATGGGCAGTGGGAGTGCTGGAAAAGAAGGGGGGCCATTAAAAGCTCTGTTAAGACAACAAACTCAGTCGGCTCTGGAGCAAAGGGTAAGAAAAGCATGATTATTTTATTCTTGAATGTCTAGTAGTACAGTCCTAAATATGTCTTTTTATAGAAGTAAGTCCTGTTGAGTTCAGTAGGGTTGTTATAACGATGAAGCCTAAACAAGTCATTTTGGAAATACTTCTTTATCAATTGCGTAATGTTTCCTTTTTTATTAAATAACTGCTATCTCCCTGCTTTGATCCTGAATTGTATGGGATGTAATCTTTGTTCATATGGATGAATTAAATACACATATAGATCAAGTACAGATCTAGAACATGGAGATTTCCAGCATGCACATGTACAGTACTATCTATGTTAGTTTTTTAAAATCAAAATATGATAAGGAATGTTTAAAATCCTTTGTTGCTTTATCAGATTCTGATGATCCTTGAAGTGAAGGAGGCAGAATTTTAAAAGCCAAATCTTTATTGGGGAGCAATGTCAAAGCATAAGCAACCTTTTCCCCACAATTTAAGCTCTTATCTTTTAAGTAAATGTGAATTTAAAAAACAACTGCATTCTGCCTACTCTAGATCTGAAACCATACTGGGAACCTGAATCTAATTGATACTCTTTGTGAATTTCAGGTTTCTTCACTAAAGGCCTATTTTTACTTGGATTTAGAGAAATATTGTGTGCTTGAAGCTATATATGTACACTCCATAAAAATGTGGAATAATAATTAAATGAATAGCAACAATAAGATTGTATAAGTGGATGATTCTCTTTTCATTTCTTGTGTTACCCATTGCTAAGGGAGGATCGCCTCATAGGTTCTGTAGAAGGCGGGTATGTTCCAAATCCTTGTGTGACATTTTCTTTAAGCCCTCTCTTTTGTATTAACTTTATTTTGAGAGCCTTTTCTACTTTGGACTTTTTATTTTAGGAATTCAGGATTGGTTTTTTCCTCCCCTTTTTATTTTTTGGTAACATATTTTCACCAGATTCATTTTAGAATACTTCATATGAAAAATTGCAAATAATTATCCTAAGATCACTTAGCAAACCCAAGTTCTCCTGCTTAGCCAGTAGTCTGCATGATTGTACATTTACTTTAACTTTTCATTTCATTTTAACTAGCTTTTTCATAGCTTTTGTTTTGTAACATTTATTTTGAAAATAAACTAACACAAGAAAGTGCTTACCTTGCACTCTTGTCCTGGTAATTTAGAAGTTATTGATTTGGATATTGATTTGTTGAAGTTTCTTTAAAATGTTTCTTTCAAAAATTTTAATGGTTAATACATTTAAATCAGGAAAATCACTATAAAATGAGAAAAGTGCATAAAGAGTAACCTTAAAATAGTGCTTTAAAATGTTACAGCTTCACACATAATAGTGTTTGGGTCTATGTCCTGTTTGGAAATACGGTTTAATTTTTCATCAGCTTCCATTTTCCTCTATCAAGTCAGACCTTTTTTTTTTCTCTTCATTACCTTTACTGCAGCACACCAACAGCACAGCTTTGTCCCCTTGCAAGAGTTATGCAGTTTCATTGTACCTACTTGTATAGCCTTTACCTGTTTGAAGGGTTCTGATATGAACAAATAATCTCGGATGGATGTTAACTTCCTCAAATGTGTTATTTTTTTAAATCCCAAGAGACTGATTTTGAAGTTACTTTTCCTATGTGACATTTTTCAAAGGCCTGTAGGGAAATTATTGACAATACAAAGAATGGTTATTCTGAACTGGATTAAAGGTTCAATTTAGTCCAAATTCTGTCCTGAAGTCTCTCTGTAGATGGCTTAAAGAAACTCTCAGGCAAGAAATCATATAATCTAAGTTTATAGTGCTAATCTACTAGTGCTCATTTTTGTCATGTTAATTTTACCATGGTAGGATAAGGAGCTGGAGAAAATGAGTTGAGTTGCAATATTAAAATACAGTGAGGTGGTAATTTGGGGTATCTCCTGTGCAATTATATTTTGCAATCTGTTCTGCCTTTCTACTTGCAATTCATAAAAGATAGTTCTATCTGTGGCTATTTGCAGCCCATATAACTCTTGATTTCTGAAAACTAATGAAATGGCCTATATACCTTAATTAGCAGCTAGAATGCACTGGTGATGTGCAGTGAGCTGGAATATTACAGAATCTACGCGTAGATTAGAGTTGGCCAGAGCATTGGCCCAGTTCACTGGCCTGGTTGACATACAGTGCTAACACATGAACGAGTCTCAGGCTCTTGGGATCCTTCGAACTGTGGCACAGTTGGAAGGAGACACTTTGACACTTCCATTTTAGAGTAGCTATAGATTAGCACTATATTTGAACTCCAAACTGTGGCTAATCTTAACTATGGTTTGTGATGAAAAACCCAGCTTCCCAACTTTGGTTTAAAATGGCATTGTTCGTTTCCTTTATTTATTTCATTTCTGTGCTGCCCAATTGCTTACACTCTCTGGGCAGTTATCATCAAGTTTAAACCATAAAATAAAGCAAGACAAAATGCAGATGTTTAGTATGGGGTGGCATCCTCAGGCCTAAGGACCAAATTTGTCTCCTCATGGGTCTCAGTCTGGCTCTCCCAGTTTTCCCAGAAAGCTGGGCTCCCTTCATGTGACCCCACCTGATTTCCCCCAGCCACAAATAATTTGGCAGTATTCTGACTTTGGTACAGGTTTTTCCACTGGCTAAAAAGATCTCAATACCTTTGCTAAGCCTTAGTTATTGGCAGCAACAGCACAGTCCTTCTGCTGATAGAGTTTAGATGCTTTAGACCCAGTATTCTTTGGAGTCTCAGCACTAACCTTGGAAATTTGCCCCAAGGTCAGAACTGGGACTTGGGAGTGCTCTTACCTGCACTTGTAGCCAGCATGGATCCCACCCCTGCTGTAGCTCCAAGATTACCCTCAGAAATGCTCTTTGAGGGCCAGGGAGAAGGCACACTCAGACAGCATAAAATAGATCCTAGTGACACCTCACACTCCTGCTCTCCCACTCCAAACCTGAACACTTAGAATCTAAGTGGCTGATTAAATGCTTTGTATTGTGGGAGCAGTGCTGAGGTGACTTTCTCTTCCAGGCTGCCCCTGTCATACATAAAATGCCCATCATCCTCTCTCTGCATTCAGTAATTTGCTGCCAGCATCCTTCAGTTGCACTGTAAGAGCCTGAAGCTAAAACATGCTAGAATGCTTAGTGTCTTTTGTCATTTTGTTCTCACCACTTTGCTTTCATCCCCTCCCATCACTGGAATGCAGCCCCCAGAGCTTCTCTGAAATTGAATTTAGTACTCAGACTGAAAGAGGTTCCCCACCTGTGCACTAATGTACAGCTTATTGTTATGTGGAAATGCAGTCACTATGGTTTTCAACTTGTGAATGTTTTTGAGATAGCTCTTGAAAAATCATTGTGATGTAGTCTTGAAATTACAATATTTGGAGAAGTATCTTTTACTTTCCCTCTTATTTCTGATCTCTCATCCCTTTTTATCATCTTGTTATAAAATGCATAAGAAATCATGTTTGAGAAATACTTAGCTTAAATTTTATTCACAAATAAAATTTCACATTTTATTTCAAGGTTTTATGAAGTTTTTATTTGGAAGTGGCTTGGTAAATGGCTTTCTCCCCTCCCCAGTACTGATTTTATTATCTGAGGAGGAATTTTGATGCTATATAACTTGAACCAGTAGATAATCCAGAATGTGAACTATGATATGTAATTAGGGGCATTTGTCATGTGTCATAGGAAAAAGTACTGATTATTTTCTCCTCTTCTTTGCACTTACCAGTCATTGGAACGTTATGAATAAACCATTGTTGCATGAATTCCATTTTATTTTTTTGCACTGATGCTGTAGAACTGGCAGCTGGCAACCCATCTCCTTTCCCCCCATAAATATGCTAAATATTATTATATGAAGATTTGCATTAATATTAAAATACAGGCCAGCCCATTTTTTAGCCCACTGCATTTGAAGACAAAATAATAATCTTGCCAAAGAACTGTAGTGAAATTCCTGGTAACCTCATTGTCTAGGCTTAGTTTTATCTTCCAAGTAAAAGTTGGGGGAAAATCTTCCAGGAAGTAGAAGAGGTTGAAAATCTTCCAAGTTTTATCCATGGCCAGACCATATTAAATATCTTATTGTCCTTACACTGTTTTCTGAATTGCTTGTGTCTGTACATAGGTAGTAGCTGCACTGTGATCAGGCAGAACATCTTAACTTTTGTAGCAACTGCTATCTTCTGGCTATTGCTGGGATCATGAAGTTGCCTTCTTCTCTCTACATCTCTCTAAACATTGGCCTGCTCTGTCTGAAAGGATGTTGCTCCTACCTCTTCCTGTGCTTTGTATTCAAGCCCTTCTCAGCATCCCTTTCCTATGGCTTCTCCTTTTCCTTGCCTCTGTATAGCTCTGGCCTCTTCTCCTTTTGCTCTCTGTCTGGGAAGCAGATGTACATGAATCCAGCTTAAGAATAAAAAAGACAAGTTAACTGCAGCCTGCCATGACCTAGTGGACCTAGGAATATATTGTATACATTATCCAGATTTGAATCATCCCAGGGTCTGAGTATATCAGGCTGCATTAGGAATCAGTAATGGAAGTAAAATAAATGTAATTTGTCTGTAGTTCCAAGGATAGAAGAGGTTGCTATTCTGCTCTTGGCCTTCCAGAAAAAATACATCAAACTCATCAAAGAATGAAGTCGTGGTGTAGCCAATTTATTTATTTTAGGATTGGTGGGGTTTTAATGTTTGTAAATCACCCAGAGAGCCCTCTGGGCTATTGGGGTGGTATATAAATGCAGTCAATCAATGTTGTACAATGTCTTCTTCCAATAATATACTCCAACATGACAGAATTCCATTAATCTGCTTTGACAGACCACTTTGACCAGTGTTTCTGGATGTGCTTAACTCAAGGATGGGGAACCTCTTTCAGGCCAAGGGCAAATTCCCTTCCAGAGAAGCTCTCAGGGGCCACAATCCTGTGATGAAAAGGCCAAAGGCAAAGGGCTGGTACCAAAAATACATAAAATGCCAGCACATGATGGCTTCAAACTTGTATTGCAAGTAACTAAGCCTTTAAGAGATGGATTTCAATCCTTAGAATGGAGGAAAACACTGCAGAAAAGCCAGGAAGCCACTAAATAACCAGGGCAGAGAGAAGGGGCAAGGCCATCTGGAAGACTCCAGAGGGCTGGATTTGGCTCTTGAGCCTGGAGTTCCCTGCCTGGCTTAGAGAAGTGGGGCACCCCAACCTCACCATATCATGACACCCATTACAATTCCTCCACTATGAGGCATATTATTTATATTGGTACTGCATAAACATTAGGGTGCCTCTGTAATAAGACAGGACAGAAGTTAAGGGGAAATATGAGGATGGCTTTCCTACCCCTTTGATTCAATATTTGCACTTATTTTCCTGTTGCAGAGTGGGAAAAAAGCTGTTTGGCACCTATTAAAGAATTCACTAGTGTTTCAGTGGGGTTAGTATCATGAGTCTTTGAAATACTGCTGATTATAAGATCCCAGTTCTATGAATACGTGCTTGGAAATGAGTCCCTCTCATTCCAGGGGAGTATATTCCCAAACAAATGTGCACGTTTATAACAACAACAACAATTAGATTGCCTTGAACTCCCTAGGAAAGGTGGTAAGGTTTCAGATGAAAAGTGGATAGGATGAAGGACCAGGCCACCTAATAATAATGCAATTCTGAAGTGCTGTTTTTCATGTTAATGCACCAAAGAGTACATTCTGTTTAGGACAGGATGATTGACCCATGATTTTGGTGTCACATTGTAGAGTTACAATATCTGCCCAGGAGCACCTTATGAGGGGGAAAGTAGGGTCTGAACTGCTTTTGAGATGTCTGCTAACCCCACAGCCAGCTGGCACTGTGGATGCATAATGTTTGTTCAGTGCATAATGTGTAAACTTTAAGGAAGCGTTTTGCCAACTTTTCTGCTTTGCTTGTGTTTTAAGAGATCCTTGCATGTTGAATGCCAAGTTAAGCAATCAAGCTCATAGTCGACTATAATTTCTTTTTCTTTTTCTAATTGGAACAGGAATTTCCTTTTTTTACTTTGACGGCCTTTCCTCCAGGCTTCCTACTCCATGTAGGCGGTGTTGTCAGTGCCCGCTCGGTGAAGCTCTTGGATCGCATCCACAATCCTGGTATGTTACAAGAATAAATATAAGTGTCTCTTTGCCCTGGCCTTGGTGCTCTATATATTTATAATATGTATTGGAGGTAAGAATTTGAAAAATGTCTAGTGGTTAATGGCTTTTAGCAAGACTTATTTTTTGCAACAGCTTCCTTGTAATATTTTCAATATTTTCTTTTTTAATTCCAATAATATAGCACCACATTCATTTATGTAACTGTGTTTTACATTTTGTATCAAGATTTTGTTATTGTAAATGTCACTAGACTCTTAAGACAAGTGCAAGCTTCTAAGATTTTCGTTATGGTAGTTCTTAAATCTTTTACAAGTTGGCTGTTAAAGATTCATCAAAACCTTAACTGAAAAATCACCAAGTCTAATTTTCTTTTCTTTTTTTTTTTTTTTTAATGATTTTGAACTGAGAAGAGTTCCCTTAAATAACTCAAGTTTCCTCTGAACTATCCCTTGAGCATAAGCAAAAGGACATTCTGGAAGTGGGTAGTTCCTTTCCTCAGCCAGTTGGAGGCAAGAAGCTAAAATTGACTTGATTAGGAATGGTGGGTTCTCAACCACCAGTCATTTTCTGCTTGGGAGACTTAGCACTCTTCGTTCTCTTCATTCTCCTGTTTAATCATCCTCCATCTGGACTTTGCATAAGATCAGAAAGGGTGTAGCTTAGCATGGCCACTTACTGAAGACGTATCCAGAGAGATAGGACCAAAAGACAGGATTGCTGAGGATCCAGAGGGGACAATTTCCTCAACTTCTATCCTAGGGAGACGTTTCAGTCTGCTTTTCCTGCAGATTAAGGAAGCAATCATATGGCCTCCTGACATTGTCTGAGGGGCCACAAAATTCTGGAGATGATCCCCCACCCAAAGATGGAGACTATTCTTTGGCTGAAAAATAAAGATCTGCCCCCCTCCCCCCCACCCCACCCCACCCCACACACACTGCTGGCTTAGAAAGAATCTTGCTGACTACCTCCATGGTTGGAAGCTCAGCCTCAGAGAAGGGGGCAAGGGGGCATTCCAATGGGCACAGAGAGGAAAGGACCACAGGGGCCAAGATATGAGTTACAGTGGGTCTCTGCCAGCTTCCTTCCCTCCCCCTCTGAAGCTCTATTGTTAGGCAAGCTAAAATGCCCTGCATTGGATGATCAGAACCATCTGGGTTTGAGGCTTTGATCATTGACAGCACTATCCATATGATTGCAAACTAAAAGGAGGGCCCTTAGGCTGATGGCTTTGGTGCCATCCTTCATCCAGGAGCTCATGTTGAACTTTCTGCAATAGCTTTGGCTGTATCACAGATTTCAGTTTCTTTTGTCTTGCATCACCAGGGATCACAGTCCCCTTTAGTTTTTTGCCTACAAGGATAAGTTGGGGAGCCCACAATATATACACTCTGAAGGACAGTGGAAAGGATGGCACTCTTGTACCTTGGGTTTGTGTACATCTTCAGGCAGGAGGAAGTGCCATTCGCACTACAAATCCAGTTGTAAACATAAACAAAAAGCTCTCGTTTCTCATGTCCTGATGACTGCTTCCACTCTGGGGTGTGCTGTTGGAGCCTGGATAGTCAAGGGAAAGATGTTCTTCCCGGGGACCTTTTCCTGATTATGACTGGCTCCCGTGCATATAATGGGGGCAGTTTGAAGTCCTTTCTCCCCTCACCCCCAGACAATGGGGGGATCTGATAGTGGAACACCTGAGAAAGCAGAGGGATTCCAAATGAAAGGCTCTTAGAACTACAGATCTTAAGATGCTCTGCAATCATATTATCTTTTCCTCCATAATGGAATTTTTCTGAGCAGAAAACCTGAAGAAGCAGTGGGAAAACATGCAAGGCATGCAAATTCGAAACTCTATCAACTGAATCCGCTGTTAAATGTTGTTACAGGGTTGTGTTATTGCAAAATAAAAGCTTTATTTGGAAGCACCTGGGACCCTATGTATGCTAATTGAAAAGAGTAATCTGATACTACTGAGCACGGGTATCAAACCAGAAGAAACCTTGAGAGGCTTCTTGATGATGTATTGGAACCCAGAACAGTCATTGTATTTCCCAGGCTACTGAGAAAGCCTTACCTAATACCTCAAACTTTTCTAAATGCATTTCAAGCATGTGATGTTCTAAGTAGAAGCCTCCGTTAGGATCAAAAGTAGCAAGCAAGTTGGCAAGCAGGTTGTGCACCTCCCCTGTGGACATACCTGGTCTTCCGTTGGTCCCTATGGTGGACGCTTCTGTGGTTATCTGCCTCTGTGGCAATTTAGATTGATGGTGACGGCAAAGTAAATGTCAGAAGGAAGGAAACTACTTTCATTAGAACCTTTATCTTTTAACATCTGCTATCAAGGTATCCTATAGTCATTGGCAGGGCAGTGTTTTTGTAAGGCCAATTAGCAGCATCACTTCTGGGAAACCTATTCTTGAAGATCTCAAGAAATTAATCTTGGTATCAGTCTTTGCAACAAATACTGTGCTGGATGCCTTGTAGAGTTTCAGTATGAACCTCAGCAGCCAATGTGGTTGCTTCTCACAATCTTTGGAAGCTTCCCTTTTTGCTGTCCAAAGAGAAGGGAGATACTGTCTTACCTGGTGAATCTCCATTTTGAGATGGGGCAAAGAGAAATTTTATGCTAACTGGATTTTAGATAGTTCGTTCTGTTTTTTTGCTCCTTGTTGATGCTCTGTGTAAAGTGTTTGCACTCCCAGACTAAGGATTGGAAGCCCCTTCCTTCAGCAAGGCTGTTTCCTGCCTCCAACTCCCCAATAAAGAGGACTTCCTACTTTCAAAATGTCCCTCTGTTCATGCCCAGAATGGCCACTTGCCAGATAAGACATGATCACCCTTTTTTGCTGTATAGAGCGAAGACATGACCTTTTCCAAACAGTAACGATTTTTATTTGTGTGGTCCACACACAGTTCACATGCAAGAGGCAGCTGCCTTTGCATGCACAGCTCTGGACCTTTTCTAAAGATTGTGAGCTTTATGCCTGTTGCTGCATTTTTAGAGCATTTCTCCCACTCAATCTCCCCCTCTGCTCACACACGATGATCGCCATTGCAACCATTTTAGATTTAATTTCCTGAAGTACACACAAACATACACATTTTTACTGCTGAATCTCTGAGAAAGCAACAGGAACATTGAGAAGAGGTGCTTATGCTGATAAAACCGTATACAAAAATATTATCCTTATGTCACTTTTTTACAAAACTAAAGGAACACGAGAGTTCTGACATTCTCCTGCTATTTCCTACCTTTTTTAAAAAATAAAGATTTTAAGATGGCATATCAGTTCAAATTATATTAACTGTAGAATGTTGCATTGTGAGAAGGAAATGCATGAATAGCCAGCTGATTAAGTAGGGAAACACCACAAAGAACTACTGGATCAGTAATTGCTTTAATTTCTTCTTTTAACTTGATGAATATTACTAGATTAATATGGCATGCTCCTTCCCCACCCCTTTATATTTTCACTCTCTTATTAACTTTGCTGTCTGTGTCTTTCCAGTTCCTGTGGAATGATGTTATCAATTGTGTTCTCGTTGGTAGTGTGTTCATTTTTTTCTTTCTTTCACTATTCTGCTGCTATAACTGATCTACTAATTTGCTGTTTTGAACTCAGCCTTTGTCGGAATTATGGGTAACACAAGATCATACAAACTGCTAGACTGGAATAGTTTCAATTCAGGTATTTTATTAGTCATTCAGTACTACATATGCTGACAGAAATTATGGCAGCTCAGTGAAGTCTTTTAGAAATGCCTTAAATCATTACCAGGTTAATGTTTCAAATTGTAATTCTTTTTAATTTTAAAAACCCAAAAGTTTTTTTATTTTCAAAACTTTTAAGTCCAACTATTAAATCAACCCCTTTAAAGTTTCTTGAGAGCCCACCCTACCTCCCAGTATATAATCTAATGGGGACTTGCTCCACATTCTGTCATTTGTGGAAGCTATTAGAAGTCAGGTCGTTTCTGTATGGCCTCTCAGTTATGGAATACCCTCCCCCAAGAGACCCACTTGGTTGCATCTGTTTTAATAGACTCGGCACACCAAGATAATTTTGTTTCAACAAGCAATGGAAGACTTAGAGAAGGTTATGATTGGGAGTTGTTTTTATTTTTTCCTGCAGTGTTTTGAGGGGCGGAATTTTGTGAAGGGTTTTAAAATACTCCATTTTAATGATGCTCACTTAATTTCAGAACAATCTAGAAGTACTGGTCAGCTGAAGAATACAGTGCAAATAGGACAGGAGCCAAATTACAAAGCCATGTGATTCAGACTTGGCTGAAAACCACCTGTATGTGGCAAAGTCTTACAATTCATAGAACAAGTAATGGAACTAGGGGAGGCAATGCATCACCAAGGGTGGAACAGTGAGGAAGGGCAACTCAGATGTTTGAATGGTGAACAAATGTGTAGTCTATATCGACTTTTCCATACTTTTCTCTTTTAGCTAAACTAAAGGTGTTACTAGGCTTTGGTCCCATAAACATATTAATTCAGAACACCCACAGACAATCCTCCCTTACTTGTTGTTTGCGGATGAAGCATCCACATTGGTTATGCTCCATCACCACCCAGGGCAAATTAGAGATCACCAAGCTTTTTGCCTAATTTCTCCAGCCACTTACCTCACCAGAGCTTCACTCTTCCACTCTCCCTTTTCTTGCACCATTCATTCTCCTTTTACATCAACCCAGATTCATATATGCGTGCACATGTGTAAAGGTGTGTGCACACGCGCGCGCACATGCACACACACACAATTTTTAAAAACTTCTTTTCTGCTCTCGGGCTGTTTGCCTATTTGAGCAGGGGAGTGTTCACCTGGAAAACAGACATCACTGAGGCTCATTTGTGTGGTCTGCAGCATGTGCCAGTAAAGATCCAGAGCCTTACCAAAATAGCGGGGCTGCTCCTCGACCCTGCTGAGTCTTATTGGGAATTCTAGGATGAAACCACTGCTGCCAGTGAAAGTCACTGCCTGAGG